AGTAACAAATTTTAAAGCCTATTCTCTAATTAATCCAGCACACAGTCAAATAAGGATTAACTGAGATGAATATTCAGAAAGAGCTGAAGTTGTGAATCAGCACACTGAGAAAGGAACTTCTTAACAGTTACACTGCAATATAGTTTGCAATTTCACTCTCACTCAAGGTACTGTTTTTAACAGTTTATTGTCTTACTTAAAGTTATAGTGCGTAAAATCTTACCGCTAGAACTCAGTAGACTGCGGATTGCAGTCAACTGAGTTCTCAAACTATGAAATACTCTTTAACCCTGTGTTTTGAGAAGTTCTGTACAAATAAAGGTATTAAGGTAATAATAGCTTATAACCATGTGTTGTTGTTGTTTCGCTAGCTTTCAATTTTTAGCTCATTTTCTGAAGACAGGAGGGTCACATGGCTAATCTGTTGAGAAGTTAGTAATTACGACATTATCAGAAATAAATAAGCATGTATATGCACATTTTTTTTGTATTAGAGCCCTGACTTCAGTCCAAGAGATGAGGTGAGATGAGGTGAGAGGTGAGATGGAGAATTACATTTTATTGAGATGCCAATCACGTTGTCTCCTTCCTTTGGATTTTCACTTCTTTGGTAAAAGAGGGATGATAAAATATAATCAGATGATAAAACACAGGCCTTCATGACTTCTTGACTCTGACGGTGCAGATGCAAATTAAAACGTGTCTTTGCAATTGCCTCGCTACATGACGTACTCTAAGCACATACATGGCAGACCACAAACCGGCGCCCATTTCTATATATTTTTAATTGATCTAAGTATATGAGAATGCATTGATTTATGCAAACCAATAGACATTGTTTTTTTTTGTTTTGATCTTACAACTGACACAGAACTGTTGTTGGTGGATAGTTATGTAAAACTGAATGTATGACTTCTCTTTTGCACTCCTTGGTTCTGAGTTCTTCCAAATGTCAACACTAACAATTAATATCCACGAGCTTACGTTACAAATTTTTAATCATTAAGTTTCATTTTATGCTCAAATCTCTTAATAAATTAATTTATTTTCCAGTGATCTGGTATTATCCAGTTCAAAGCACCAACACTTGGCTCAGAGTGATATCACTGTCCCTGGGACAGCCCCTGACTTTGACGAGCAGGAGGGGCCATCCCCAGAGGCCGTCCACGGCCACAGCCATGTCTGGATAAAGTGTGAGTCAAAGATCTCACAGCGAGGCTGTTACACCTCCATCTGGACCCCTGAATTAAACATCATCTAGGCAGACGGGCTCCCTGCCCCAGAGCTTGAGGGACCAGAAACTGAGGCCAATTAACCCATGCCTGGTCTATTCAGCTCTTACTGTGTAGCCAATTAGGAGGGCATGTCAAAAGATGATAAAACGTTTGGGTTCTGACTTGACATCAGGAACACTGGACACCATTTGCATAAAATCACAGAGACCGGAGGAGAACATTTTGTCCCTGGCTGTGATTACAGTTCGCATAATCCAACTAAATAAAAATGCCAAGGATAATCATGATTAATAAGTGGGTATTTTAGGGCCCCAATAATATTTCCCTTGAATAATTTATAGAATAACAAAACCTTTTAAGTATATCCACTAAATACTACACTTGCAAAATCTTTTTTTGACTTGCCACATTATGTCACTACATCATCAAATACTACTTTGTCTTCTTTTCTACATACTATGAAGAAATACTTCTGCAGATGACACAAGGACATGAAACACAACGAAGAGAAGGGCAGAAGTGAAAAGAAATCAGGAAGTTTTTTTTGCCTTTGCAACAGATGGAAATGATCACAGTTGTGGCCCAGTGTAACCTAGCTTATTAGACTGTGACATGGAAAATCATTTGCAATGTAACAGGATGCAGGCAAAGTTTGATTTAGCTTTCACTTCACTGAGTGGTGCCGTTAAACATTTCGAATAATATGTCCAGGATTTATCATTACACAGAGCAGTGTCTAAGTATAAGAACTAATATGTTTTTCATTGTTTGGCTCTACTCCAGCACACTGAAATAGAAATGAAACACATGCTATGTGGTCAAGGTGCTGACATTCAGCTTTGAGTGTGTTTGGGAGTGTTCATAATGATATGGACCATATGACCAGTGTAGTAGGGGCAGGCAAATTCCCCCTATAAAACTTAAATTTCCACCCCAGACACTGAAAAGGGACAGCTTGTGTGGGGGTCCTGATGACCTTTTCTTAGAAAAGCAATTGCTGTCTTCCTCTTTGAATCCATCCATCCATCCATCCATCCATCCATCCATCCATCCATCCATCTTCTTAAATGATTAACGTCTCCTTAACAAATTTCAAAGCCTAAAAACACAAGTGTATACATAATACTAAAATTACAATCAGATAAAGTTCTAATTGAATCATATCTGTTATTGACCTCTGTCTCTCTTCCACAGCATGTCTTTTATCCTGTCTTCCTTCTCTCACCCCAACCAGTCGCAGCAGATGGCCCCGCCCCTCCCCGAGCCTGGTTCTGCTGGAGGTTTCTTCCTGTTAAAAGGGAATTTTTCCTTCCCACTGTCGCCAAAGTGCTTGCTCATAGGGGGTCATATGATTGTTGGGTTTTTCTCTGTATCTATGAAGCGCCTTGAGGCGACTTTTGTTGTGATTTGGCGCTATATAAATAAAATTGAATTGAATTGAGTTGAATTAATATATCACTAAATCTCCTCCCTCTCAAATACTTCACTAAGGTTTGGTGACTCCTTTACTTTAAACAAGAAAAGGATATGTTCATTGTTCATTTCTTTTACCACTCAATAGAAAAAAAATGTTCTTAAAGATTTTGTTAGCACCATTACCTCTGGGTTGAATGCTGTGCTTCAGAGCAACTGCCGAAATGTTACAGAGCAACCTCATCTTGAATTTGGTGACGTTTCAGCCAGTTCTCAGTTGATTTGGTATTTATTGCTGAGCATCCTGTTTTAAAAGAAAATCCTGAAAACACCCTTGCAGTGGGGCTTACCTTCTGGGAAAGGGAAGAAAAAGGAGTTATAGTTTTTATTTGGGAAAGCCTAAAAAACCTTTATGGTCAGAAACACAAGAAGTCTCAGCTGAAACATTTTCACAACTGGATTTTGATGATCTTACTGACACAATTGCTGCCACGCCTGTCAATGCAGCGAAGCTGGGCTATGAAACTCCTCCAGCCGACAGCTTTATTAAATACATCTCTGCGTAAGTGTTTGTTGCCAGGTACTGTATTAAAGACACTAATCAAAAAGGTGGAGAATTTGAAATAAGCACGTTCTTTGCTTCATGTCAGCTATGATATAAAACACAAGGACACCATATGTTTCTTTGACTGTTTTCCCCCGTGTCTGTGAACCTGCTGCTTTCAATTCATTGCACAAACAAGCACGTGTAATCTTTACAACATTTGTAACTAGGAATTTATTGCACTCAGCCCCCTGCACACACTCAGTTGAATAGCTAATATTTTACATCAATCTGTTCCCTCGGGGTAGGAAAAAGTGTAATGACGGTGAAACTAGAAGAAACAGGTGTTCTTCTCGCCAAGCGTTTCTTTGAAGGTGCTGAGAGTTACAGAAAGATTGTGAATCACCGCTAATGGCATGAAATTATAGTTGTGGGGTGCAAAATGAACTCATGCCAGTGCAGCATAAGCCACGGCAGTAATTGCAGTACCTTGAAGGGTTATAGATGGCACGAATTGTGGAATGACAGAGGTGTGTTGTGCGTTAAATGAACAATGAACAGTGTTTACCGGGAATGCTGTGGGGAGGATTTACAGAGTGCTCCCTCGAATGTGATGACTGAAGTGCATTTCAAAGGCAAATAGTTTATTTAATGGCATAAAGAAAAAAAAAAGCCAGCTCGTTTTCACATCTACCAAATTAAAAAACCTAAAGACCGTGAAAGTAGCTGAAGCTGTGTGCCACCTGGACACTTGTTGAACTAAAACTAATCAGGCTAATAAGGTCAGACTGTTACTGTTCAAAGGAAAATACTGTTGTGTGACTTTCTGCAGAAGAGGTCTACTCTCTAAGGAAAGTGTCTGGAAAAGATTTATAGTTTCAAGGGGCACCATTTATAATTACAAAATACACAAGCTGAGCAGTTTAACTGAAGCCACTGAAACAAAGGCATTTGTAACAAATATTAACATGAGGCAGTGGTCTCATTACTCATTTGCTTTATCAGAAAAGGCAGCCATGACTAAACCAATTTAGACTCCACAAATAAAAGTCATTTGTATTCTTCGACAGGCAAAAACCAATAACCAGAATATATAAAGCAAAGGCCAGCAGGGAAATATCTTACTGGTGATTTTTCATGTTATTTTCAGTAATCTAATATAGCATGCATATTACATTTTTGAAATATTATACTATTGCTGGATGTGTTCTTTTTACAGAGCACAGATCAAGTCATTTATTATGATGTTGCTGCTCTTTGAATGTCTTCTAATCTCTTCCAGTATGGTGACGTTTCTGCATCTACAAATTAAAAAAAGCTTTCAAATAAGCACAGATGATAAGTTTAACATGCTGAGCATTGATTTTTGGCATCTTCATTGTGATTACTGGTAATACTACTTGGTACTTGTTTGTATCTATTTTTTGTAGTTTCGTCTTAAAGAGAGATCCTCAGTTGCTTTATCTTGGGGTTTTGGTGTGGATCTGTTCCTCATTGGAGAGCTATGGTTAGAGGGAGTTATGCGATGCCAACTGTGAATCCCCTGTGGCTTTTATAAATAACATTTAAAAGGTATTACTTTTTGTAATGGTTTATTAAGTGATATTTTGACGAAAAATTCTTTCTCCACCACGTCACGCTGCGTATTCATGTCACATGAAGGAAAACGGGTAAATGCCAGTTACCGCATGACTCTGACAGCGCTTTTAGTCAGCTTTACAGAACTGAAAGTAGACTTTTATGAAGTGGTTTCCACACTACTGAAGATTCACTTCCCAAATTTGTTATTAAAGTCAGATAAATTCTGAGCTGCGAATGTATCACTCCCATTTTGGTAGAACGGGTCCTGGAGCGAGGCTTGGAAATCATCTTGACTTCTAAAACTTCTGGATCTCATGGCATATTTTACAGCCATGTTTGGTGCTGCAATTCTTTTGGGATTCATCAACCTTTTAATGGCAAAAGAAGATACGTGTGATCTCTATGCCACTCCTGGGCAGAGTCTGACTCTGCCGCTTGCATATGAACGACTGACAAACTCTCATATCCTGAGATGGATTCACAACAATACAGTCATTTTCTACAGGCAAGGAAAAGTGTCAACTGGAAAACCAGAGGACATTACTTCAAATGGATCACTCGTGCTTAAGAAAATTCTGTTTTCAAGTCAAGGGATTTACAAAGGACATGTACTGCATCCCAATAATACATCTGCTAAAACATGGACTGGGCGTCTCTGCGTGCTGGACAAAGTATCAAAACCTCAGCTCAGTTATTCTTGTGACTTCAGCTCTATGGCTATTAATCTTAATTGCCATGTTACTAAACCTGAGGGTTTGGTGTTTTCATGGACGCTTGATAAGGAGACATTAAAAAGTGAAACAAAACAAACACTGAGCATATCTTTTATCGATCTGAAAGCTGAGAGAAGTTTCACATGTGATGTGGCAAACAAAATCAGCAAGGCGAGTAGCGACAAGGTTCGGCCGACTTGTCCACCTTTACTTTCTTTTAAACGTCAAACTGTAATGGCAGTCCTAGCAGGAGGAGGAGGTCTGATTCTTTTTCTGCTCTTCGTTATCGTTGGATTGTGCTGTTTACTCAGACGCAACAAAAGCCAAACGAGTCCCAGGGATAAAGGCGAACTGAGGATGCTTTCTCTACAGAAGCAGGAGACTCACTCTGTAAGTCCAGAACACAAGAATAACCACCCAACAGAGGTTGTCACTCCACCGCTGATACCTCAGCCTTCACCAAGAACATATTACCAGAATGTTCCTCAGCTTGAAGTTCAGACTGAAAACAGCCCTTCACTCATGTATGAAGTTCCTGACAGACCACAGCCTTCACCTGTACCGAAACCAAGGACCAGGAACCTCCAACAAGTAAACACCTGACATCACAATGAGTTTTTGGAGTGGTGACCAAAAATAGTGTTTGTGGAAAATGTCCTTATTATCTTTGCCCACACTCGTTCTTACTATTTGGTTTTGCAGGTCTTTAAGCTAAAACTTAAAATAACAAAATATTTATTTCCTTTTCAATTCAATGTTATGTGATTAAATCAAAGTGTCATTACTGACAGTCTTAGCTGTTATATCACGAATGATCTAATTCCAGAGGTAATTCAGTCTGACGATGTAAGCAACTAGTCATAATTGATATCATAGAAATGATGCATAATGCTTGTAATATTCTGTAATTCTCCTGCTGTTAGGCACTCTCACGAAAAGGTACTTCAAGCTTACTAAATCATTTTAGAATTTTTTTTTTTAGATTTATCAAACAGAAGTGAACTGTTGGGACTTACACGGTATTTATGTATGTATTTTTCTTTAGCAACGCAGGAATAGCAACTGTTCTATTAATAGATCTAGGACAAAAGTGGTTTATATCAGCATTAGGCTACACAGACAGTAACTACTAGCATAAATTCATCCACTGGTTTTATCTTTGAAATGAGGAGAACATTGCCATAAGCTGTGGCATGAGATTTATTATTATTAGGCTTTCAACAAGAAGAATGACCTGTTCTGTCAAAGAAATGACCAGTCACCATTTGACCTACTTCTGAAATCGTTTAAAAAAATAAAAAGGATACCCCACTTACACAACACTCTTACATGAAAGCAGATGGATTTTCTGTTACATGTAATCATAATGTGCGCTTACAAACTGTATGTGTTGTTTGAAATAAATAAAGCTGTCAAAATGATCTTTGCATGGAAAACTACACTAAACAGCTTATCTGTGTCAAACACAGCCCTTTGTCGCAGCTTCTTACATGTCAGCATTCTTGCACTTATTAAAATTTGCTTGCTTGCAAGAAGTTATTAAAGGGAGAAAAAAATCAATAGAGAAATGGATTAGCTAAGGCAAATATCTATTATCGCCAACGGGTAAATGGTAATCCACACATGAAAGTGTTTGCTGTCTCGCCTAATGCTGTGTGACAGCCACATAATGGAATCCCCCTGAGCGTCACTGCCTAAAACTTACAAACCAATGTCATCTTTTGTCAGGTCCCGCTCCACTCCTGCTTTCTATACATGGCAAAAAAATTCAGTCCAGCTGAATTTGCTCGTAAAGCTGGTATCTGCTCCTAGAACAATGCCCCTTTTTTCTCCATTTCCCAAGAAACATTGAGTCTTGGCTGGCAACTCGCCACATTCAGTCACCAGCTTAAACCGTGCACAACATACATAGATGGAGATGAACATCTCATATGTCTATTCCAGGTCTACCCTAGAAGTGGAAGGGAAATACGTCTACTGTAAATTATGCTTAATCAGTGGTTCTTGGAGTTTAAAGGATACACCGTTTTGATCTTGGTGTGTGTGTGTGTCCAGGAAAAGGGTCAATTACCCTTGGAAAGTATCGTGTCAAATCATTTCTGCCAAGTCTAAGGAAATCAGAACATCAAAAGTCAGCCAGTGCAATGGCGTTTTTCATCAGATTTTTCTGAAAACACAAACATTAGCCTTCTGTTACCATTTTCTCTCACTTTGACCTCCGTCCATTACTGACACGTAAAGTATACAACACATCGAGCGAGCTGAAATCACAGTCTTTCAAATCAAGCTCCAATTTATTGAAAAGGAAACATGGCCAATTACTCTTAGAAAAAGAAACCCTCAAAGTGACTCACTGCCTTTAAAAATCATTCATCGTGTAAAGTAAGTAGAAACTGTAGTTCGTGGTCTTGCTGTATACATAAGAGAAAAGTGCTGTTAAATTCTTTATTCGAATGTCTCATTAAAAATCAGATTTACAGAATCTGTCAGCGCACCAGTCCTATTGATGTTATTCTTCTCCATCTGTGCACCTCACACTTTCGCTCCCCCACGCAGCACATGCAGTCTGCTGGCTGTCTCTGCACAGTCTGTGGGTGAGTGCAACACAATCTTACAAATTTGCTGAGAGATCTGGCAGAACTGATTTTATTTTTCTATGAAAGTAGAATACTTTCCAGACTTCAGCAAGCTCAAATACACTGCATGTCAAAGAACTACTCAGTGTACACTGTGTTTCTAACCAGCTCTGACATTTCTCGCTAAAAGATTATGTCTTTAAAGGGAAATTAACCTTTTCATCTGAATATGATGTTGGCTGCATTAAGCAATAATCCTTCACTGGTTTGCACCAGGTGGTGTGTGGCTCCTTGCAACGTTCTTGTAAAAACTAGTTAGAAAAACGTGTCTTAATCATTTTGGTTACCTGAAAACTAAAGAATGTTTTAAGAAGAAAGACTTCTGCAAGTTTCAGGAGGCTGTCTAATCAAAGGCAATTCACAAATCACTGTAGCATGACAAAATTCCAAAAACAACTTGTCATTGGAGGCAAAATAGTTCACAGACACGCATAAAGGTCTAGTTTTTTTTTTTCTTTTTGGTGAATTTGGGCTATAGGTTAGACAAAACAAAATAAAACACTGGAAGTAGCACTGCATAGCATCCCCTTGTCTTTTAACAACAGTCCTTAACACCTGAGTTTGGAGTTCAGGTGTTTGATTTCGTTGGAGAGGAATGTTGTCCCATTCTTGTCTGCAGTGTTGGTCAAGTTACTTGAAAAAAGTAATCAGTAACTAATTACTGATTACTGCCCCCCAAAAGTAATCCTGTTACTTTACTGATTACTTATGTTCAAAAGTAATTAATTACTTAGTTACGTAGTTACTTTTTAAAAACACAATTTACAACCTGAAGAGGTGATAAAGCGATAGATCTTTCAGCCCAATTCTACTTTTTCTGCATAATCCATCATACAAAATGTAATCAAATGGAAAAGTCTCTTTTTAAAACTTGTTTTATTAGTTTTAATCTTTTAACTTTATGCATCAAGCAAAAATTAAATTATATGCAACATTCTCTGACTGGAAGAAATTTGTTTAACATTTAAACCAATTTTCTGCACATTCCAGCACATAAAATAAAAAAAAATTTGTGTTTACACTCACTCTTTCAAATAAATGCAAGTGAAACACAGCAGAAAATAAATAAAATCAAAGACTAGCGGTCCTGTTGCTCTATTTTCACCTGTATAGCAGGCGGAGGTTTGCCCTGGTGCAGGTGTGCCGCAGTGGTCAGTTGAAGAATCCGCGAGTTTGTCTGTGAATTTCCCATTACGTCGTAGCGTACTCTGCAGTCTGCGTACTCGGTGCTTGCTCGGAAGTTAAGGGTTTTTTTCGCGGCAAAAAGAAGTTTTCTTCCCACGCAGTGAACAGCAGACGCTAATCAGTACTTCCACACTTTAACGCTGCACGCTCATACTCTCTCCTGCACTCGATATATTATCCGTTGTTGATCTGCACACAGCTGTTGCCACGAACGTCGCACTCGCTTACGTCATTGTCATGAGACACTCTCGCAAAAAAAATCACGGTTTTAGTAACGCAGTAACGCAGCGTGCTTACAGGAAAGTAACAGTAATCTAATTACCTTTTTTGCAATAGTAATCCCTTACTTTACTCGTTGCTTTAAAAAAGTAATCGGATTACGTGTTACTGCCCATCTCTGCTTGTCTGATATAGGATTCTCACTGTTTTGGGTCTTCTTTGTTGTAATTTTCACTTCATGAAGCCGTGCTGTTGTAATAGTTGCAGTATGGTGTTTAACATTGTCTTGCTGAAATAAGCAAGGTCATCACCGAAAAAGATCTGGATGAGAACATTTTGGTCTAAAATTTGCACAAACCTTTCAGCGTTGATAATTTCATAGTCACTAATGCACCACCATACTGTACAATCAGAGATGCAGGCTTTTGAGATGAGCGCTGACAACATGGCAAATGGTCCTTGTCCTTTTTAGTGATTTCTGGAAGATTTCCTGAGCCTGAGGATCATTATTCTAAAACTGTCACACAATTTTTGTAGACTGGTGAATCATGTTTACTTCTGAGAAACTCTGCCTCTCTAAGATGTTCTTGTTATTCCCGGTCATGTTACTGACCTGTTGCCAGTTAATCTAATTAGTTGCAGAATGTTCCTCCAGCTGTTTCCTTTTAGTACCACTTATTTTTTGTTGCCCCATCTGAATTTTTTGAGACATGTTGCTGCATTCCAACTTTTTTGGGTACAGGGTTGTACTTGTAACATATTAGTCATTGTGCAATATCTATAATCGTTATACCTTCACAGGTTAGTGTTTCTGTCACAAATAGGAGTCCCAGACCTCTTGCGCCTTAACAAGAAACCAAGGTTAATACATAGGTAACGTTTGATTGTTATCAGACTTTCCCAACAGATGTCTACTGAGTCATTACTAGATAAGTCAAAAATATTAATTTGCTGTGGTTAGGAATGCATGTATAAATTACTTGATACCGTAAGAGTCCAGGAAATGAGGAACAGAGGTCACACAGGAGGAAGGAGAGAAGAACAGAATCAATGTTACAACCACATCAGCAGTGAGCAGAAAGCAAAATATTCCCTTAATTTTATTCTAATGCCTCAGCAGCTGTTCTGAGCCAGAGAAGCTGGCGTGTGAAAAGAGAAAAAGCTGGGAAAACAACAGCCCTTTGTCAGACACAGATCTAGAAAGGATCTCTACAAGCATTAGTACTCAGGAAGGAATGTGAAAGAAAACATGTTCATTGCATCCTGTCCGCAGGAAAAAGTTTACAAGTAGTTCAGTAAAGCAAAGAAATTTCAGAATTTAAAAAATGATTAAGAATTCTATATTTAATATTTCCAAGTACAAATATTGTTTTCTTTTCATCTGCCTCACATCTGAATGCATATCAACATGTGAATCTTCACAGGTGAAAAGCTTAGGACATAATATTTTTATTTTGGAGGGGAGTGCGTGCAAAGCTAGCTAAATCAATCAATCAATCAATGAATACTCTGAAGCTACATGTGCAAATGAATTAATACCCTGAGGCTACAGTATGTGTGAAAGGAACTAGTCTGTTAAATTACATTTGTTTTGATACCTACCTAAACCCTGGTTGTGCTTTTTACAATTGTTCCTCATTATGAGTAACAATTTTAAATGCTTTACAGTACAAAACCCTGTTTTGGCTTCTCTGATCATGTTTATTTTAGTCTAAGAATCATGCACTGACTGGAAATTGTCTTTAATCACTAAGTGAGTGTTGTTTTGTACAAATTTAAAATGGGTTTAAATGAACAGTGATCCACGAATCAAATAGTAAATACAAATGGCAGTTGAAAAAGTACTTTAAATGCTGACTTCAGACCTTGTTTTAAAATGACAACCTTTATTTTTTTGACTTTTACTTTATGAGTTTTCTCTATTTGGCATCTTTATTGCTTACTTTACTTTCAGTTCGACTGCGATTGGATCATGCGAGAGATGTCATCCGTGGTTAAAAGATGCCTTACAGGATGGTTAATCTCATCTCTTTGTTGTCCCTCACCAGGTGTATCTCAGAGCTCGTCTTCATCTAGGGCACTACTACAAACTCCAGGTGACGTTCCCATACAGGGGATGATTCTAAACAAACATTCCAGGATAATCAGTCCTAGACAAAAGAATAAGGGGGGTAAGCTGGAGTCTGCAAATGCTGTAAAGTAGACCTATCATTTCCACTACAACTAGAACTCTATAATAAAAATATTTCTATCAGCGAAAATTACCCTTCCATGGTCTTGCACCTGATGTAAATCAGATGGAGGAAAAATTCCGCTTTCTGCTCTAATAAGCATCTTGTGCACACAGATTCAGCGTTCATGCAAAGATCAAACATTTCTCTAACATTCTTGGAGATACAGTGTTATGTATTTGCCAACATGAAATTACAAGAATAAGGACATCAACACATGTACTTATGATGTACATTTTGCACAGTAAGACATTCTGCTTTGACATGCAGGGCATGAACATCTAAGATGAGTCTGCCAAATAGCTATACCTACTGAGGAACACCCAGAAGAGAGGATTTTGGGTAGTTTGTAGCCCTTGTCTTGGTCTATGAGCCTAGCTCCTCTCAAGAAAAGGATCCCTTTAGCCTTATTGTCAGTGTTCTTTCATGCGGGAATAATAGCATGTCAGTGATGGCCCGTGCAACAATAGTTCAAGATGAGAAAGGTGTAGGGGTCCAAAAGAGAACTAACAACACAAGGTTTTGCTTTGGCTGTGGCGCGACTATCTAACAAAGCATCAGCACAACACCCCAATGGCCTCGCTGTGTGGCCTCAGTTTCTTCAAACACTTTCGAAAGGCGGCATTACTGGAAAATTTTCTTGAAAAGTATTTTATCACCACAACAGATAAGCGCTTTAAAAAAAGGTACGTTTTGCAGCGTGTGTGTGGGTTATTAATTGCTGCTATGGAAACCATCTGGTTGAGAGAAATGTACAGAAAAATAAACACAAGAGCAGGATCAAATATATATCTACAACACATCTGTCATTCAGGCATCTCTACATGTGATTGTCTTTAAGAAAAACAGCAATAATAAGCCCTATTTTTGTGTCCTTTTTATCTATCGGGGAGGTCACAGAGGACAAAGAAGCAGATAATATCTAGGTTTATGATCTACTATACTGTGATAAATGCTTTTTATCAGGAAAGAACTGCAAATTAGTATGTAAAATCTTACAATGAAGCATGACTGTCTAATTAGAAGACATCTAATTATGTGTCTAACAAGTCTTTTTGGCCTTCTTCTCAGTCAAGCCTTGTCCTTATGGCAGCTGACAGACAGTCTGATCAAAGTGGCCTCTGATGCTGCACTCTGTGCCAGCAAAATGTGTCACAAGCAGCTGGGTGGGGTATGCCGTTGAGCTACAATAGCCAACCATATGGAGTGTTAAAACTGAATAAATCCTGCTGCTACCAAGACATGTGAAACACTGTTTATTCTTTCTTATACTGCATGACACGTTATAGCTCACTCAACACTGCCCATGTGCATAATGCCAACATGAGGTCCAAGGAACAAGACTTTGAGGTTCTTTTACAATGAATACAATAAAGCTTTGGAATTGTAGGTAGGTAACAATCATTAATTTTAGAGTGGTAGCAGTAAGGTTCACCTGAAGCAGCAGAGAGAAATGACTGGTGGGTAGTTTGCTTGGTTCAGAAGGGCCATAAATTTCATGTACTCCACCTTTACAAAACATACCAAAACCTAGTCTTTTCATTAGCTGAAACATTTTAAGGTAAAAAATATGGCAAATATCTCAATAAAAGCAGTTTTAACAAAAGCTGAATGAGAGCTGATCCATGTTTGCTGTGTCATTTTACATCCATGCATCAATACTGAGATATTCAAAGTCCTTTTTGTACCCCCTTTTCCTATGAAGACAATTGCTGTTCTCCTCTTTGCATCACTGTAGATATATCATCCATCCATCCATCCATCCATCCATCCATGCATCCATCCATCCACCAAAACTGCAAACAAAAAAAATTCTTTCTCTCACAGCTACTAAATTTGAAATTTGCTTCTCATCTTCCTTCTCTCGCATTCCCTTCTGCTCTCACTCTTTCCTCTCTGCCTCTCATATTATTTCCCTCCACTGCTGGTTTCAACCCTCAAATCACCCCTGCTGCCTCCGCACTCAACC